AGTCTGTTACGAAGCCGCGTTTGACAGCGAACTGGAAAGTGCCGTCATGACATCTACGTGCAGGGTAAAACACAAGACCAAAAATGAGCTGGGCAAGACTGCCACCGGAACACAAAAAAGAAGTGGACGTTCTACACCGTCAAATTGTGTCTGCGTACGTGCACATGCATACACAGCCGCGAGTAGGTACAACATTGTGGACAGGGTAGCTCTGGAGTTTCTTTGTTTGCACTTCAAGAATGCTTTGGGGGGAAGCCGACTTCAACGAGTGGAGGCGGGAGGCGTTTATCACTGAGTGACGCCTCAGTGCACGTTTTGTACGCCTGCAGAGGCCAACAAGACAGAAGCCCTTGAAGCTCACGATAGAAGATCATATGGTCTCGTCTCGTTTCAACATCGCCTCTAGATCTTTGCTAGGAAATGCACTAACAAAGCAGAATCAGCTCAATGCTCCAAACACGTGAAGACAGCAAGTGAGTCTCACCTCCATAGCCTTGCCGCACTTCTCCTCCATTGCACTTTCTGTCAGCTTTGTGTGTCCTTCATTGGTACACGCTTGCAAACACTCGAATAAATCAGTAGCTACCTTCTCGCATCCTGAAGCGCAGATACATTGACAAAACGGTGAGATATAGTGAAAAAGGAAGCAGTTAAAGGCTCAGAGAACTAGTAGCAGTGCAGGACACAATGCGGTTGAAGCTCATGAGAGTACAATGTCGGCACTTTCCCGTTGTTCAGCCCATACCTTTCCTCACAATTGGAAAATAGGGAGGGAACTGCAACTTCCTGGCCTGTTCCATGGCTTCTCAGGAGGGTGGCTTGTCACAAGCTTGGCGACACGCCGTGCACCCCAAGGGAGCACACGGGGAACGGCGGTAGGGCGTGCACAACGTCAGTTCTCCTTAGTCGTCTTCTTAAGAATAGATAACCCACGGAAAAGGCTAAACAAGCTGGAAACTTGCTCCAACACCTGGATAGAAGAGGAGAGCAGCACTGGCAGAAAACAAACGCGGAGACTCAACGTACGAACGCCCTGTGTATTCACAACACCAAAACGTACAAGTACGCTCCACCATATACTTCAGTTTCTCCATAGATAAATGCACGGACAAATAGTTCTAGTGGTTTCAAGCTGACAGCGCCGTCGTCTTTGGAGGGCTCACCAGCCGCATGCACAGCCCCATCCACCACCCCTTGATGCAGCCGAGTGCGCTTCCGGCGAATTACATGGTTCTAAAAAAGTAAAGTAGCGTGAAAAACTGGTTTATTATGAAATCCGGCATTTAGGACATCCTGCGTACCTCGCACTTGTGCGCAAATCCCCGCTTTTCGCTTCAAAGTGCCTGCATCTTGGTTTCCCGCGAGCCCCTGTTCTGCAGCTTCTGTTGAAAAAATGTCGCAGTTCCAAGACTGGACTCCAGTGGTATTGCAGAAAACCAGTCCAGGGGGGGGAAAAAGAGTATCTAAAGAAGCAGAAGTCAACAAGGCGCGCAGGGCAGGGGAAGTGATAGAAACTGAGAAGAAATGTAAGCAGAGACCTCAACCCTTCCGTGGATTAGAGGCTGGCGAGATTGGCATCAAAGCCTGGTTAATGATTCCCACTAGTGCCCATTAGTACATTTTGCTCCCCACTGGAAACGCCTCGTCACAGCCCTGACGTGCCCGTGTTTTTACCTGTTGCGCTGTAGTTCTGGGAGGTCGGAACAAAACTACGAAGGCTGGTTTGATCCCGAAGTAAGTCCATAGTGAAATAGGGTCATCCCACAACTTTTATACTCTTGCATTGGCATTGTCGTCGTTTGCGTCCAGGGTAGATTCGCTACGTGCAGTTGCTCTTTCTAGCATTGCATCTTTTTGTATTGCTATGCTTTTCTGGCCGGTGATTTTGCTCTGTCAACTTCATCACACTGTTCGATTTTATTCGTCGAGCTCTTGGCACACTTTTCGGGTGTGATCCTGCCTCTTCGCCGCTTTTTGCCATTTCCCCTACTTGTAGCTCAACCTACTGCGTAGCTGGGATTTTTTTGCTTATTTGTTTTCCACTTTAGAATACGAGTGCATTTCGTTTCAACTCTATTTCCTTGCACAGTTCTGTCTGAGCTTCTTATGTCGCTTGTACTGTGCATTTTCCTTTTTCCGCAGAGGCGGAGACCAAATGGTATTGCATGCCCAATTGCCGTTAGCGGGAACTTTTTGAAATTAGTTGTCTACAACCCTATTTTTTGCATTTTTTCTTTTCTCAGCGCCAAGAAGGTCGAGGAAGACACTGGCGACTACCACATTGACCGAGTCTCGACTGACTTCTGCCGCGCTTTGGCAGAGGCGAGGAGGAACAAGGGCATGACTCAGGCCCAGCTAGCGCAGGCGATCAATGAGAAGCCCTCAGTTGTTAGCGAGTATGAAAGTGGGAAGGTAAGCAAAGAGGGGGATGGATGGGCCCGTAGCCAGGCTATAGCAGTTTGGAAGCACACTCCCTGCATCGCTTGGTAGCCGAGAGGAGAATAGAAAAGCAGTTGAAGAGATACAGGCAAGAGAGGGGAAGATGCGGTGCTAAAAGATGAGACGGGTCATGTATGATAAATGGGGCCTTGTGCCGGATCGTTTCATCCCACAGACTTCCTTACTTCCAGCTTCAGCAGGGCTTTGGGAAATTGCATGGCTAGGCACTACATGCAGCGTGCGTCTCAGATGTCTGCTGCAACTGTGTGCATTCCTGTTTTTGTCAATAGGCCATTCCAAATGGCGTTATTTTGCAGAAGATGAGCCGTGCGCTGGGTTGCCAGCTGCCGAAATGCACACAGAAGAAGAGGGTTGCGGATGACTGAGGTTGTTGGTTGGTACAGATTTTGGGTCCCCTGTCTTTCTGAGAAGGGCTCGACTATGGAATCTGGCTCTTTGCGAATGCGAGGCACGGGAGTGTTCCTCGTAGTAGTCTGCTTAGATTCCTGTGCTATGCGCACGGAGCCGGATAGGGAGCTGCAAGGGAAGCAGGGGGTTGAATGATCAGGCGCGAGGGCGTTTCAAATGGGTAGATAAGCGCCTCACCATTTAAGGTAGCTCACAAATCGACAAACATAAAAGGTCATTTTGGTCCACAATCGAACAGTTCTGTTTCCATCAATTCCCTTTTTCGTGGTGTTCTGCATCTTCGTATTCGTTTGATTTGTACGCCCTTCTATAAGTTTCTACGACATGAGCGTTTAATAATTCAATAGCAGTGCTAGGTGCTCCGCAGGGTAAGTGGTTCTTGCAAGAGGTGTGAAGGAACGAAAGGGTTTAGTGGCAAGCCATGGGATTTTACGCTCGCACGTATCCTTTTCGCATTACTTTGATTTGGAATTGCTGTTGTAGCGTTGCCGTTGCAGGACGAGAAGAAAGTTGGCCCTGCATTCATACATAGGTACACAAAATGGTAAAGAGCGCACCACATAGATATGTCAAGAGTGCTCAGAAATGTGTGCGCGCAACACTTCTCTGCGTCCCGCCCGGTTTGTTGCAGTTAAATGAAGTCCAGCCACACCTTAGTAACTCTATGCGATTATGTAGAGCTCAGGGCTTCGCATACATTGAAGTTGGTAGTTGTACTGCGCTGGCTGACAGTCCAAAGCGTAAGTAAATAGGTTGGTAGTGCCTGCCCCACGTAGACATGGGGTAGAGATGAGGGTGCGGTGCTAACGGTAGAACAGGCCGCAGTGCCAGCAGCAGCATGAGGAACAGCCTATTCCTTCTGTGCAAGAAGCCTCCTGCCGGAATCGAACCGGCGACCTTCCGCTTACTAAGCGGATGCTCTACCGACTAAGCTAAGAAGGCACGCCCTGCGACTGTGGGGAAAACGAAGGAGTGGGAGAATTACGGCGCATAACCCACTCGTACGACGTAGTGAAAAGTTGATGTAGTCTTTGCTGAATCTGAAAGGATAGGTGGTGCTCATTTTTCGGATGAGTCGCTTGGCTACAGTAATCTTCCGATTGTGTCGTGCGCTGACGAAGATCCAAGCATTTGAACTCATCAGCACACAATTTAAAACTTTTGCATTTTTGCCATATTTAAGCGCTGTAAAGTTCAAAGGTTCTCTGTCATGTCGCTTGTACAGGACATAACATCAGCAAAGGCTGCGCTTTGCCACAGGATGCCCGGGGTCACGGTGAAAAGTGGCGAAGATGACGTTCACTACACCTCATTGGGAGTACTGATGTGCGAATTTCAATGCAGCTTTTTGACGAATGAGAACGAAGCACTGAAACCATGTGCAAACCACTCAAGGCTGCTGCCTTTGAGTAACCACCACCACCCTAGCTCCAGGAAGCCAGAGGGAGAAACTTCCCACTGCAACGGCTTTGCAAGCGGTGTTTTGAGACATTTACAGTTACACACACCAAATGAAATGGATATTAAAGCTCCTTAATGGCTTGGTGTGGCAGTGTCTACCGCGATTGTCAGTCGCCTCGTTGCTGTCTGGACCACGTGGCCTTCACAAAACAGGAGGTAGGCGGTGAGCTTCGGCAAGGACCTTCTTATAATGAGCTTTGCAAATGTATTAAAGGCTATATGACAAGACGTTTTGGATCGTTTTGAATAAAGGTTTGGCCGTACATTGTAAACGGCGGTCAAACCACCGTGGCTATTAGCTATTTGTGTTCACCTGTCGATCTAGGTGTCCATCGTACGGACTTGCCCACAAATGTACCTTTTCTCAGTTGCTTCCTTGTTAAACAGACCAGGCAGGGTCTTTGAATACGTGTGAAAGCTACTTCTTCTCGATTTTTTGTTCGAAGTGAGCGGTTGTATCTGTCAACTCATCGCATACAGAGGAGAGAAGACACGCGTTCTTTGGCAGTCATCAAGGCAGCCTGTCGTTTCTCGGCACTTCTTGACACTAGTCTTCTGTAAAGCTCCAGATATTAGCCACGTATGTCAAGCAGGCAGAGCTGTTGAGGCCCGTTTTCGTTGGAGTCGCGCCACTGTCCCGCACAGGGCGGTTCAACAGAAGGCTGTCCGGTATGGCGGCGATTTCTCATCTTCTTCGACTGCGGCAGGTGGTGGTGAGCAGTGCTAGAGATGCAGGAGAGGCCTTAACTAGGGCAATCAAAGCTGACGGAGCTGTGAAGGTTTCACAGCTCGCCACAGCCCTTCTCGACTCCTCACTTCCCCGTCACGTGGAAGTTGAAGCAGTGGCGCCGGACTCAGCCGCTTGCACATCAACTGATGAGTCTGCAGCATCTGTGACGCATTCACGGGACTGTTCTGTCTCTCCTGATGGCAAAATGGACTCAGCCACGCCCCTGCGCGAAACTCTGTTTGAGCGCGGGGGCCTTCGAAGCGGCAACGTCGCTACGCTGTGCAGCTCGAAGTCTTTCTCCAGAACCAACTCGAGTCGTTTAGATGAGGCAGAGGACTGGTTTCTGACGGACTTGGTCTCTGGAAACGAAGAGAATGGCAGGCAAGCGTGGACGCCCCGGAACAGCAGGAGCAGCAGCGTCAGCAGCTGCGGCGGCGGGAGAAGAGGCTTCGGAAATATGGTTCTGGTCTCATCAGTGGAGTCCCTGTTGTCGTTAGAGAGGGACAGAGACGTTACCGATGGTCAGAGCAGCTACGGGTCCTCGAGAGACGGAGACGAGAGTCATCGAACTTCCCGTTCTCCCACACTTGTCTCGGAAGTGCCTGCTTCCCTCGCTGAGCCCGCAAAGAAGGATATTCCAGAATATGAGAATGACTTGGAGCAGCAGCTGCAGCAGGTTGGAGGCCAACTCTGCTCTCAGTTAAACAGTAACGGCGGTGATGTGCTTTATGTCATTAAAGGCAAGCCAGCTTCCGACGCGCAGAGGTTTTACATGATCGAAGCGGGACACGGTTGGAGCTCTTACCAATCACTCGAAGTAAGAACGGACAGCATAGTTCGAAATGGGGCAATTGTGTTTTGTTTAGCTTCAAACGCACAACCTAGGTACATATATCTTGTACATCTTTAATGTAGATGTGTAGAAGGTTTATTCACTTTTGTAATGCAAATATATAAATATACATACATTCGTTATGCGGAGAACGCGTGTGAAAATGTGCTTTGGCATTCTCACGCTTAATCTCAAATGTTTTTGCACTCAACATGCAGGCGAATAGATATCTGCTTGTGTCAGTTGTCGGGATACCCACTTGTCGTGCACATCTTGTTTGCATATGCACACGGAACTGACGCTTGTTAATCCTCCCAAGCTTTGTAGTTGTTAATTTGCTAGCTCTTGGCACGAAGGTTTATTTCGAGGTAGCAGGTTGTGCACAGACTAGTGCGGTCTCTGTAGTTTTTAGTTTGCAAGCTCTTGCACATGAAGGTGTATCTCGAGGTAGCAAGGGATGCACAGACTAGTGCGGTCCCTATCGAAGCAAAGAGACCCTACATCTCTTCTGTGTGTCAGCACATAACAACTGTAGAAGTTGAAGTGCATTCTCACGATTGTGCTTACCTGACTTTCCGAAATTTTTCCTGTGCAGCACCTCGTGAGCTTTTTGGGGGAAACGGTGAAAGTGTTTGGCGCTGATCGTTTGCGATCGACGAAATTTCTGCTGCCCGTGGACGAGGCTGAGATCTTCTTGGACGATCTTCAGAAGATGGCTCCATATTCTTTGAAGGATTTAGTCGATGCAGCTAAAGCAGGCAAGTGCAAAGCGCTGTTGCGCGTATGTAAACAGAGTGGTGCGTTGAATGCTGCAAGGTGTCGCAGGTTTTATGACGGTTTTAGGGACAAAGATTCTACTTTTATTTGTGGATCGTGTTTAATGACCTTCCCTTGGTGTGATCGAGTGGGTACTTCCGGTTTTCTTGATGCATTCTGTTTGCATGCAACGCTATTTGATCTGTTTGATAGTATGTCCGTGTGTTTTTTTTCAGCGGGAGCTCCAGTTCTTTGCGCATTCGCTGCACGGTTCTTCTTCCTGCAGCTAACAGAAGCGGTGGTTGCTTTTGGCGCTGCAGCTGAAGCCACGGCAGCGGCCGGATCTGGTGTTTCTGCTGCAGCAGGAGCAGCAGCAGCAGGAGAAGCGGCGGCAGCAGCAACGGGCGCAGCGAGTGTGTACAGCGTTTGCTCCACAGCATTCGCTTTGACACCGTGGGCACTGCTAGTTGGGGGATGTGTCTATGGTGTAGTGCGTGGCGTACGCAAACTGCATAATGTCAGGGAGAAAGTTTTCCTTTGTCCTACGACAGATTCGGCGGAGACCGACAGCGAAATAGGGTTGCCACAGGGAATGTACCGTGATCACTGCGTCATTAAATGGGGATAAGGTGCAAGCACAGGGCTGAACTCTATGTTCTCAACTCATATAGGAGCTAGTGAGAGGAGCAAACACGTGACGGTGTTCCTCTTTTCATTTTTCTTAACCTTCAAGTAACACGAATAAATCTTGAAACTACGAATTATTGGAAGCGAAGCCGAAGTCCGACATGGCTCGCTTGAAAGAAGCTTTAACACCGCGCTTGGCTCCGGCTTTCTGCAGCGGCAGGGGCGGCAGGAGAACCTTCAGAGGTGAAGCAACAGCGGCACGAATAAGAGAAACAGAAGTAACGGCAACAAGAACAGTAACTTCGCAGTAGCAACGGGCGCGGGTAACGAGAAATGGGGACGGCTCCCCAAACAAAAACAGCAGCAGCTGCAACAGTGGGAGCTGCAAGACAACCTTCGCCAGCAGCAGTGTACCTTGGCATACTACTCGCTTCACCCCTGTTTGGTACTGCTTGGAAACTTTACTAGAATTTTTACGTTTACGGTTGGGTTGGGATTCGCAGCAGACAAACATGCTCTTTTCAGAGGAATGGATGTATGCTGCTCTTTCTGAAGCTTCACCGGTGTGTATCTGAGGGACTTCAGAGGGGTAGGCATATGCACTATAATTGCTCTCATCTGTTTGGGTGCTTCGGAATTTTATGTACGCCAGGGGGAGAGGATTCAGAGGATTTAGAAGACAAAGTGAGAGCTTCGGCGACGCCCTGTGCAAAGTTTTTCGCAGAGCGGCTTACGAAACCGTATGTGAGGTTTCGAATTAAAATTTGGTGGGTTTGTGGGGCCAGTCTGTGCAGTTAGCAAAGTCTCTGTAGAGCGTTGCTGTGGGCTAACGCGTACTGCATCGTGGATAATAGTTCACGTTGGGCAGGGCTTTCCCAACTGTTCTTGTTGGAGGAGGACACAAATCAAGGTTTTTGCGCGTCACTTTTGCTAACTGAAGAGCTCTCCGCCAGGTGTTAAATTAGAGGGTGGAAGTTTGGTAATGGGAAATTTGCTGGCGCCTGCTCAACTACGTACTTAGGCACTTGACAAGGTCAGTTCGCTGTTAATGTACTCCACAGGACTGTGGACTCCCTGTCTTTACATTACCACCATGCGATCGTGACTGCAATTGTGGTCACGATCGCATGGTGGTGATGTAAGCATGACCATACCGGGACAGAGGGGGAAGCAACAAATAGACCTCTATAGAACTCCTTGGAGTCAAATCCCCTTCTTGAAACTGCTCAGCTGTCACAGAGATGAAATAATGCCTGTGGGCGCCAATGCTGCCTACAAATAGAAGTGTACTGGCATGTTGGCATCGAATGGTTTCCGTTAAGTAGGATTCATAGAGGTTCAGAGGATGGAGAGGGGGCTAGGGTGAGGAGAGAAATGTTCTGCATAGGTTAACCGAGCAGTTAAGAGCAAACGTGTGGGATGCGTCGCCGAAACGAACACGGTACGGGACGATCACTAGGACCCAGTGGGGGGTGAAATGTAGCGCTAGGCATTAATAGTGAGATAAGGGGCTGCTTAGAGGAACAAGAAGTGGCAGGGTAGTCGCATTCAAGCAAAAGTGCGAAATAATCGTCGAACACAGCGCATCTGTTAGGATGTGTAGCCCTGCATGTTCTGCTGGAAGGGTAGGACTTGGGGAAAATAGCGAGTATGGAGCAAACAGGGAGTCTTCGCATGCTGCTAGCTCAGTTGTTGAGAACAGATTCCACCTCTTTTCGGTGCCTTTGCAAATTCCCAGTTTTTCTATATTGGTTGTTCCCTACCAGTTAAGCATCAGTGGTACTTAATTGTGACGCTTTCAGGCTGCTGAGGGAAACGGAAGAGTCCAGCCTGGCTTTGCACACCAGTGGTGAGTGCAGTTCTTGAATCTGTGAAGTGGATCCCCCATACGACACTTGTTGAAAGCCATTACCTGTCCGCTATGTTGCACTGTTCGTAGTCCCTGTGGACGCGCCTGTCCAAACCTATAGCTATGGATGCAAAACAGCCCACAATAAGCTTGGCAACTCTGGTCTTCTGGGCACCTTATGGTTTTCAGAGAAGCGTATACAAGGTCGCCGTTCAGTTGCTGACCTGGGGCTTTGTCATGCTCGTTGGCTTATAAAAACGGTTCCCGCAAACTAAGTGCAGCTCTACGTCGCACTATTTTTACAATAAGAAGCGTCCGTATGTGGTGCTAATAGTGCGGCCAACAGCTCCAACATTCGCACAGGGAAGAGCGTCCGTTGCAGATTATGCCGTCATCATATTCGCATTTATCAATTCTGATTGATTTTCATCAAGATCTGCTGTCGTTATAGCTGCAATGGCAGGGCATGGCCAAGGGGGCAACGGAATCTAACACGGTCTCGTGCACACATGAAAGGCACTCCCGCAGAAGATGATGCGTCTATTTGCTCTGTAGGCACTGCCCATAGAAACTATAGAATAAAGGCAGGCAAATATCTGGAGACCACTGTCCTTTACATTGCATTCAAGACGCATGAGAAACCTGCCGCTTATTGGGGGATCGCCGGGTGGGAGCTCCACGACGTCTGGAAGATATTTGGGGGGCATGACAATGAACGCCGCAATTCGACACGTGCAACATGAAGAAAATGATTGAATTACTCAGTGATATTAATTTTTGCTATTTGTGGCATTAATTTTAGTCGGTGTGTTCACATTCGCAGCACTTCGCCCCGGCTGAGCGCCCGTACGGTCAGATTAGTGTCCTGCCCGAGGATCGAAGATCTGGCTTGCATGCTCGTTCCAACGAGATACTTTGCAGTTTAGAATTGATGAGAGGACTTGCCAGCGAGCAGATGTGAACTGAAACTTTTGCTCTGTTTGTCTGATTTGAGGCTAAGAAGGGCAGCGCACGGCTGCCTTCTGGTGAGCCCCACTTCCTGCTTGTTTTGGTCACAATTTTTGTGTTTCTCGCTGGTATGCTTCTAAGGGCTCGCAGATAAAGATGGTGCTGAATGCGGGACTGTGCAGACTTTTAGTCGTCCTCTTGTCGCCGTCAATGCACTTTCTGCAGACAATTGCAGCGTCTGCCTCCCCCTATACGTACAACCAGTGGGCAAAACAAGAACAGAGCACCACACCCCGTTGGACTGCACCTTATGACACTGCAGCCCCTGCATATAGTGACCGAGAAAAAGATCTAGGCATACTTTTTGAAAATGCCGCAGGGCAGGAGCCCCCGAAATCGGGGCAACACGATGTCTCCAGGGAAGACCAGGACTCAGCCTCCCACCAGAAGCCAAGAATGTTTTTGAAACAGTTGAAGGCACGATCAGTGAGTATTTCTCTGCTGCTGCTGTTCTGTTTCGGGGCGCTAGCGCTTGCCAAAAACCCGAAGTTGTTCACCAGGTTCTCGGAGCACAAAAAGCAAGCACGGGAGAGTCGCAAGAGTCCGATTTCTCGTACAGAAGAGATAAGAGGCAGGCAGGCCCGGCTAGCAGAGATTATTCCTTCTGCAGAGAGTCTCGCAAATGCGATCGGAACACAGCATGCCCGCATGCTGGTGGGCGAGGTTCGCTGCAACATGCAGCTTGTGGAGTCGGGCACAGACGATCGCGCTAAAGAGGAGGCTATCTCACGCGCCTTGGTGTCTCTTCGTCAGCTGGACGCTGACAGCATTAACGTAGTTAATTCCCTGGTTAAGGAGTATCAGCGGCTGCCGCGCTTCCCCGTGATGGGTCTTGGGGAACAAGACAAAGACCTGTCGCTTAGGCAGCTGGAAGACGAACTTGAAAATGACGAGCCTGTGTGTCGTTTAGTTCAGTCTTTGCGGTCTTTCCAGACAAAAAGTGAACAGCTTTCTAGGCGCTTTAGTAAGGTTAGCGAGGACTTCCTGAGCGGCGCTCCATTTGAAGATGAACTTGATAGGTATCGACTCGGCGTCGCTGCGGGCGTCCTTGAGTACCTCAAGGCGAACTACAACTCGCAGTCACATATCCGGTCACTTGCCACAATGCTTAGAGACGCCACTGTAGATGGAACGAAGGTGCTGATGATACGGGATCACCGGCAGTCCTTGAAATCGTTTGACGGGAGCTTGGGACTCCTTACTATTTCCGCAGCGTGGATAGAGGAGGAAAGCAAGAAGCAAGCGGATCCGTCGGATGAACTTGAAAATACATTTGCTTCCATAGAAAGGATGCGGGCAGAGGCAGAAGTGCTCCGCGATGAGTTCCTTACACACTTGGAGGAACTCCAGAGGAGCCGCTCGATGAAGGTAGCATCTCAGGCGGCTACACAAGCAGAGAAAGCAATGGAACAGGCAGATACCACACTTCAAAGAATGTGGGAAACTCTCAAGGGACTGAGAACTCCAATGCTTGAAATGAGTGGTAACAGCAGGGACCAGCTTTGTGATGAGGGGAAACGAATCCACGATGAAATCGTTGCAGAGAGCAGGACGATAAAAGGCCTTGTAAGTGATGTTGTAGAAAGGGTTGAAAAGTTCTTGAAGGAGAAACGCAAGGCCCCCAAAGATTCTGCTCATGTGCTTAGTAGATCGATAACGACCAACATGTTATTGGAAGGACAGGAGCTCGAGTCCCAGGCCTCACGCACTGTAGACCACTCCGCAGAAATCTTGCGGAGTCTACAGCGTATAAGTGACCCAACGCATGCAGTAACTCTCCTAGTACAGATGAAGGATTCCTTAGTAACTCTCACGAAGTCAGCAGCCGCGGCGCGGCTGCTGGGCCTACAGTTAACATTCTTGCGCATGCTGGAGAAAGACATAAAGTACCAAGAAAACGAGGTGGAGTCAAAATCCGCCTACGGCTTTGATACGGACACCGCTGCGCAGGTAGAAATGCAGCGCCTGAAGCGACAGTTTGATGAAGAGTGCGAAAGTGCGAAAAGTGCGAATACTTTGGCGGCAGTAGAAGATCACTTGTCAGCCATGCGGCAGCTCCTGAGTTCAATGGACGCTCTCATTGCTGATGATTTGAATATATAGACGGGCGCTGAATGCTACGAGAAGAGGTGGTATTGGCTTTCTTATCCATGCGGTTCACTTCCCGTAATTCGTTTTTCCCGGGCTTTTTGCTGCTTTTTGTTCCTACAAATGGAGCGACGCATTGTGGAGGGATAGTGCTACACAGCGAATGAAATGTACACTTCCTGCAGTATTTATCTTTGTGCTGCGCCAGCTGCGTGACCGCTTCCGCAAACCTACAACGTTCAAAATACGGGCATGTTTGACTGCCTTCGGCTGCGTCCTTGACAGTTTTACAATGAGCTCAGCGGGCGATCTTCTCCAACTGTAGCAGTCTGTATGAACTGCAGTGTGTTGCTTTACGCGCGACTCTTCGGGAAGATTGTCGAGCAACCGTCACTTTCACACCCAGAAGGGTACATCGCATGAGCTCTCTAACGCCGGACGCAAGAAGATTCGAACGTGGCCACGGTAACCGTATATCTGTTTATTAGTCGCCGTTTCCCCATGATTTTTCTTCTCCATATTTCCAGCCTGTTCATATATGATCACCTCCGACATCCTCTTCGCATGAATTTCTGAGGGCTTTTCGGTGCAACAGGTTCACTTCGGGCAACCTGGATTTTCTCGCCTGAAAGCTCTACAGGCACTCAGTGCGAAGACAGGTCTGCTGCTGGTTCTCTTCCTACAGGTGTGCCCGAGGCAACGTTTTTTGTGGGGGTTAGAGCTTCCCGATTCTGTTATTTTTTATGGTGTACCGTTTGGATTGTCCCGACCCAATGCACCTGCGCAACCTAGCGATAGGGCGCCCACTTTCCGAATTAAAAAGCTGCAGCGCTGATCTATCTCTTACCTCCCCAGCCGAGGAGAAGCCGGGTATTGTCAAGTAACTACGGGTGCGGCGCTGCTTTTCTGGCCCAGTCTGAAGTACCATTTGCATCATTGAGAGTCACTATTCAGCCGCCTTGTTGCGGAGAGACTCATTAGGATCCAAGCTGCATCGACAGTTGATGGTAAACGTATCGACAGGAAAGGCAAACAGGAATTCGGTGGAACCCTGTAGGGATTCAGGGTGGGCAGGTGCTGTCACCGTTTTGGGGTTCTGGTTCTGCTTCCCTTCACCTGCCCACGAAAGCAATGCGTCTGCGTGGCGCGTGCTTCCGTAGCTACTTTGGTTTCATCGCTTTTGTCACTTTCAGCCAGGTGCTGTTCGGCTTGGATGACTTTGGAGTGCTATTCGCGTTCGAGTTGCTCCGCCTCGATGTCCAGTCAACTTCACGACTATTTCATCCGATTTACTGCGATGGTGAAAGGAGCAGGACCAAAACAGCCATGTCTGAGACACAGAAAATTATGCATTCACCCTCATTGCATTACTTTTCTTGTGTCCATTTGCATCTTGAAAGTACAGCAGTGATTGCTGACGGGAGTCGTCTCCTACGTATTGCTGACAGGAGTCCTCTACTACAGTGGAGGCATGTCCAAAGCCTGATGCGGCTCATTCCCGGCTGCTCACCCGATTCAAAAAACGGCTGACGAGATAAAGCAAATGCGAGAGCGTTTTTGTTTAAATGGCCTTCTTGAGCGGCCACAACACTGAGCGTACACTCACACAAAACCTTAGGTGCTAGAGACAGCGTGGGCAGTTCTTCAGCCAGTGGAGGAAGTTGTAGACTCACTAAACGCCCTTACCACTTCATTAGCTCCAGTTCGGCTTTCCTGTTTCCTAGGGCAGCTCGTCTTTTTATCTCTAGACGACTGTCTTTCCAGTGAGGAAGGCCTGAAAGTTAATGTATTGGCCGTAAATGCACAGCGTTTGACCCACAAGCGGATCTCTTCTAGTAATGCTCTTAACCAATACTTTTGAATGTGGCGTTGCCGCACGCAGTAGAAAAGTGTACTCAAACTATTTTTGTTTAAGGGGCAGACACTGAAGTGAGCAAACGAACCAGCGGCGCGAAGAGCGGCAGGATGGTATAGAAGCTCTCCGACAGCTTCCCTGAAACAAGATTTGACAAAAAGCAGCTATTGGCCGAAAAAATAATTCTACAGAATTTGGACTTTCGCTCCGCTTCACCTTTAAAGTGCTAGACACACACGAATTCAGGCGACCGCTGCCGGAAGGATTTTGCCTCGCTCTATTTGCCTACCGAAAACTCTTGTTTCCAAACGTGGAATTTCACAAGCGCGGCATTTAAAGCAGTGCGCATTCTGTCTAGCCTGCTTACTCGTTTTTGGTGACAGCCTGTACTATGGCTTTCCGTAGCAGAAACTCCGAGGCTTCCTCCTGCGATAAAACCGAAGGTAGAAGGCCCGAAATACAGTTCAAAGCACTAGAGAAACTAGATGGGGATTATCGCGGGTGAGGGAAAGGCTCACATGGAGCGACAAGGATTCATTTGTGTCCTGCGCAAGCAAGCATACATTTGCTGAGACCAAAAGCAGTAAGTGCAAAGCTTGCACTGCATATGAATCCTTGGTTGCCAAGAGAGCCCAGTGAGATGAGAAGACTTGGGCGGTTCTTTTTCATGATTTCCCACTTGCATTTGTGATCTAAAGCGCAGATCAGAGGAGTAAACGAATTCTTTGCAACGATTCAAACTGCTGTTCAGCCAACCTGTCTGTCCCTGCTCTGGAGAAATGCGAAAAGCAGAGAGCCAACTGTATCAATAGAAAGCGCATCCCAAAAAGAAGGGGTCCCTGGCAGCCAACACAGCAGCAGAAACTGCTGCGTCAGCTCATAAGTCTGCATTGGGGTGAATGTAAAGAGGCAATCAGCGGGAATCAGCTGCAACATTTACCACTTTCCGCTTACCCCAGACCACTGCAACAATGTCATTATGTAGGGGCTGAACCGCGAAATCCTGCTCGCACGTCGATCACAAAATAGGCAGTCCATTTTCTCGAGTTTACACCCATACTTGGGGGCTCGACCGAATTCAAGTCATTTTTTTCGGTCGCACCTCCGCCTAAGTAGCAACTACGTAACTAGTTAAAGACAAAAAGTGTTGCAGGCAGCAGTACACAGCAAGTGTTGCGCTCTCGAAGTCGAAGAAACTACAGCTTTACCGGAAGGGAGGATGCCATAGGAGTGAAAGGAGCCTCTGATGGCTCTGGAGACAACGAATTGTGTAGCTTTTCATCCTGAACAGCGGAGCAATACTGCAAACACAGAGAGTAAGAATGCTTAAGGAAGAAAACGCATGGTTTAGAAGACTCTGACTCCCGCGTCTACTGAGAGGCTTGCCTTCAGGTAGAACAAGCCGAAGGCCTTAGTTAGGGGAATAGGATGTTTCTGAACGCAACGCATCAAGGGTAACAAATAAAAAGCACGGGAGCCTAAAGCATGCTTGGCCATAGCTGCACTAGATCCCAAGAGGCGATTCCTGGCTATGACAGAGGGCTTGCTAGCACTAGAGCTGCGCACTTACATTTTTGTCGCTGCCGAGTTTCTGAAGTTCAATGTTTTTTCTAAACACCTCAGGCGCCCCAAAAGGCCACGCAACGACGCGCGCAGAAGGGCCATTCGCTTCCCCATCGTTTTTTCCCGATACGTTTGCTGCTGATTCCTGTTCTCTTGTGGCGGCTTCAACGTTGAAGACAACAGCTGGGTTGTCTCCTACGAATGCGGCGAGAATAACTGAAGAAGTAAAAAGAGGCAAAAACGAATTACTCTGTCGTTTTAACACAGCATTTCCCTTGTGCAGCTCTATTAATGCTATCGTTATGGTAGCTGACGCTGGTCGTTTTGGTGCTTCTGTCAGAGCATATTTAGTCAAAGCAGAGTGATGCTCTTCGCCCCTTGCTAAAAGCTCTAGCTTGGTCTGCGTATTGTCTAAAGATCAAAGCTATAAGCAGCTCCCAACTTCGGCCCCCTAGCTCTAGACCCTTACTTCTAACCCTCGAACCCTCACGCTTGCCCGCGCACCTTGAGGCAAGAGGCCGAGAAAGTAAAGCTGGCATCCTTGCCTGAGCTTGTCCTTTTGTCTTTTACATGCGGCGAAAAGAAGTGCATCTGCAGACCCGCGTTAACGGTGCTAAGGCAAATAGCAATCGTTACTAAACGGCTTTCATCGCGACACGCATGCGGACTTACCGTAGGAGATGAAGAGCTTTTGGAAGTCCCAAATTATTTTTTGGATTTTCTTTGCGCGAGGCTGCACGACTTCAGGCGTTCCTGCCTTCTCCGCAGCAGACGCGAACTCAGCGGAAGCCTCAACTGCGATCGAGTCGGCGGCTGCTCCTAGATTTTCAGAAATGAATTGAGGGGCAAACGAGCCTTTGTCGCCAAGACAACACGAGACACTGCTTTTTCCAAGATGAAGATACACCTGAAAAGTGTGAAAAATACCACCAAGCAAATGCAAGGCCGTAGACTCCCGCTGTACCGATCTGGTTCTGCACCTGCAGCCTACCTGCGGTGTCTTTTGAGTGCAAAACGTGGAAAACGAAACTCGAGCTATGTTCGGTCCCGAGCGTAAAAATCCTTGCTGGTGTTGTATTGCCGTAGGATGCGGGGAAACGCAAGACGCTGGCAGTTTTTTCTTGATTTCGCTTGCTGTAACATCCAGAGACCCGCACCTTGTTGCACAGTTTGCCGGAAAAGATGGGAGATTGAAGAAAGCGCACAGACTGTAAGCCAAGAATAAGGAGAACTGTTCTAACTGGGCCACTTAGTGCTTTGAGGGAAGCATTCACACAAGCTTACGTGCGCACAAACTGAGGCAGACCGCTGGAACGAAACAGCGCTGCATTTGCCAGTGTGCTTATGGTACGTTCGTGGAGGTAGTAAGTAAAGTCGCTCAAGTTACAGGCCTGATAATCATAATTTGGAGACACATAGAGACGCAGAGTCAAGGAGCAGAACAATTCCACAGGGCGACGGCCGACAGGCACAGTAGCTTCCCAAGCCTACTGCCGTACGCAGATCAGGAACATCTAACGGCAATGCTTTCAGTGTATTTCGTTGAGCTAAAAGGTATTTCAGCAATGCAGTCTGAGGGAATTGGGAGAGAGCTATTACAACCGAACCCGATGTCGCTCTCTGGGGCCCTTCATTGGGGCCCCTGTTAACATGGTCTACTCAGTGGCTTCTAGGCCTTTTCGTTTTATTTGCAGCAGTTTGGGCTGTAGCGGGGTGGAAAGTGGATATAAATCTAAATAATGTAATGATATTTGTCAACTCTGGGGGAAAACATGGTGCAATACATGCCTCGTACATTCTGCAAAGGCGACTGGCGAAGCCAACGTGTTCCCACAAGCAGCTGGGTGGCGCCAACCGTTTTACATTGTTGTTCACCGTCTTCCTTTTAGTATTAGTGCACTGAAAATTAAGAATACCGCAGTTGAGAAGCGTTTCCAGGTCTTGTCCAGTTCTTTTCTCCCGAGTCAGTGTTTGTGACACACTTTGGACCAATGGCACTCCAAGCCTCCACAACTAACCCAGCCACTACATGCTCTGTCGCCTTACTGCACTTTTCTTTTCAAGCTGCCATATATATGCTGTAGGCAACACTGTCATCAGCCACAGATAGAAACAAGAAGATCCACGGAGCATTTGGGCCATCAGTCATGCCTTTTATGAGTATGCCAGCAATTCCGCTTAGCAGAGGTGGCACAGGAAGGGACGAGAGCCTACGCTAAATCATATTGTTTAAGGGACTAAAAGGCTCTATGGAGCCTTTAGGCATGCATGCAGTCCAACCATGAAGTAGGACGCACCAGCTGTGGAATAATTCATTCTCCGGGCAATGCTCATGTTAAGAGAGAGGAGCTACACAGCTATGACAGTACTTATGTCCTGCTTGCAGAAAGATTCTCTCATTATGTCTCGCATTTAAAACCGCTTGGGGAGCTGCGAAGCCGCAAAATGGTCCCGGTTAAGCAGGGCACTGTATGGCTGACACAAGACTTTTTTTGAAATAGTTTTGACATCTGGACTTTCCAGTGCTGCCAGAAGGTAGTGAAAGCCACAAAAAGGAACCTTTAGGTTTTTTCTGGATTCTTTTGCCTTTGCGAGGGGCTCGCGAGTTTACAGACCTCCTCCTAGCTGACTACCTTAGTGCTGTTTGAACAAATTTGCACTGCATTATCACGGTCACCGTCGTTGCTAACTATGTGCTACTGCTTTTGGATTCTTTATAACTTTGCTCTCATGAACAAATTCATTGGTGCTTCAGGGTTCTGCCAGCCCAACGATGCGTTTTCCCTCGACAAGTTATTTCTTAAGAATGCAACTGCGTTGTCAAACATAGTTGCACATGTCCAGCTCTCCATGCCAAATTGTCATGCATCCGGAAAAACGACTAAAGAAGCTTTGGGACTTATTCGAAGCTAGATTTGAGCCTCAACTACAAGCCTGCAACATTCTGAATATTCCTCTGATCCCTGGGCAATGATTGAGAGGCTCACGAATCGTGGTCACCTGCCAAGATCGGAAGATAGCATTCGCAGTACGGCGGCAGTTGGCCCGCTGCTACTCAAAACAGTTGAAATTGCACTTTAAAATCCTTGCAACGCTAGCAAAGGGTCATTTACTTTTGCGTAAGCCCTTTACCTCCAGGCTCGCGTTATGCCATGTACCTAACTCTGGAGGTTGGCGTCACGGTGCAGCAAGAGCAGCAACTTTTATCGTAAAGGCCTCCACTTCTTTGTCTGCTGTTTGCGAATCCTGGACAGAGTTTGGATAGATAGAGCTGTAACGGCCCGGCGTGTATTGCGCCTGCGTGGGCCGATGGGGAGAGGCAACAGATGTGCAGATGTCGAACAGGGGAAGACTAAACTCAGTAAGGAGTACACGAGCAGCCTAGAATAGCAAAATATATATTTATTAGCCATTTCTTCACTTCAGGACAGAGTTGTCCCCGCGGAGCACCAGAGGTGCCTAGTGCCCGTTGAGGGTACAGACTGACATTCAGGGGCTTTCAGGGTGTCTAGCTATTGAAGATATTGTAGCTTAGCTTTGCGGCTTTTACAGTGAGCCATAGTACTAAAAGCAGCGTCAAATTCGTGTGCAAGTGTGTGAGGGGATGAGGACATATCGCCTTCGCCATACCACCATGGTAGACAGGAGGCTGCTAACAGCTCACAGTAGAAGAGGGTAGCTAACGTCGCTTGGGAACTTTAATTTAGTCACCCTGTTGACCTAAATATGCCTTCAAAAACGCCTGGAGCGACGCATCAAAAGTCTGAAGAGGCGGCGCGTGCGATGCTCTGGGCGTGTTCTCTGTGGGAGCTTGTTGTTTCGTGGAAACAACGCGAACTTTGTTCAAAACCATTTATTGGGTTGCAGAGACACAGAAATTGTTTAGGAAAGTTGCACATATGGCATGGACACTCAGGGAAGTAACTGATGCATTGCCAGCACTGCAGTTATCCCGGCAGCACTTCCCCTAGTTTGTGGTTTTGTCGTGTTGCTTGCAAATACGTTTTGTTTGCGCTCACATAAATTTAAAGCTGTATCAGCTCAAGTAAGTTATAAATAGATCAGGAAGTATCGCCTTAAGGCTGAAATATATTTGCAAATAAAGTCTGGAAGTCCGGAACAGGGTTGTTTGCTACATTGTTGTGTTCTCAAAGTGTCGCACACGAACCCTATACTCTTAGGAGTCTTAGGAGATGGATGAGAATAAATAAGACTGCGCTACTGCAGGGTACAATAGGAAAAGGATGCTGCGCTACCTTTGCCGCTTCAAGGCTCAAGCATTCTTGTGCAGTTTCAAGGGATCATTCTCGAAAAAGCCAGTTGATCACGAGCTGTGGGTAATTCCTCGTGAACTGGGAAGTTCACCTCTGTTTGCTGTGAATATAAGGGGTGCCTAAGAAGTCTACAACTCTGAGAAAATCTTCATTGCAGGGAATTGCAAGTCTCTTCTTGTTACAATTCCTCTTTCTTCGGAGCCAATGCAGCTTTGTGGAGCGCTGTGAAGGCAATTGCGCGAGGGAGCTAAAGGACTTCTCAAACTTTTACTAAAATGCTGTTTCGGAGGACTACTACAATATCGCTCAAAAGGAATCCGTTTAAATGTTGTCTTTCGGGCATCCCTGTGGACCGGTCACCGCGGAGCAGCTAGAGAGGCACCAGTGGGTCTTCTTTGAGGAAAGCTGAATATGCAGCAATCGGAAACAAAAGATTTTACAGACTCTACATAACGAGGCCCCACTACTTCGTTGTGGCCTTCAGCCTTCACTTAACTTTGCCTGGCTAGCGAGCCTTGGCTCTTTTTATGATCGGCCTGTTTTTCCTAACGGATTCGCATAACTGTATTCCTATGCTTCGTTGCCCACGTGCTGGAGTTAAGGCGCTTGTGAACTCTTCAACTATAGCCTAACACTACAGTAACATGTTTTTTAACGGCTTCAGATATTAATCTGCGTAAAAGAAGGCCAAACCGCTCCCTTATACAAAACAGAGCAAGCCAATCTTCAAGCTCTGCCTACCTTTAGTCGCCCCTAATGAACGGCAGGAATGCCCAGGGAAATCTGCTGATGTGGACAAAGAAATTTATCCAAAAGTTTTGCAGTCATTGGAGCCTTTCAAGAATTCTGAATAATTCAACTAGCACTATTTCACAGGGGTGTGCCAGCGGTGACGACACACCTTAGCCACCAGCGCCGTCCCAGAGGAAGCGACAGGGCAAGAAGCAGCGATCTTAATCGAGAAGATCCAAGATTTTGAAAATTAATACAATATGATCAAATTGTAGTAGAAATGGATGCGATTTGCAAGTAGAAATGCAGCGCGTAGTGCACTCAACAAGCCAACCAGTTTCGTGTGGCCTGGACAAACCAGGAGAACCACAGCTTGCCAAACTACGTTACCTAGAATTCGGATTTCGCAGAAAACAAAATTATGATTGTGTCTCAGGTAAACATATATTAAAATGCACATTCTTTTTGTACCTGTTGGCAGCGTGGCTGTGTGCAAGGAGGGGGGCGCCCTCCTGGCGGTCCTTGCGCCTCCGCAGCCGCTCTCACTGGTGTCTACGATCGCTGCCAGACTTCAGCGTTCGTCACTTTAATTATTAAAGTAAAAAGCTATCGGCTGAATTGATTCTTTGGAAAACTTTAATTTTCGTTTTGATGCGTAGCTTTTGAAAGACTCTCCACAAGACCGCTCGTAGCCTCTCAAGCTGAGACAGAAATTGTCTCGGCTTAGTTTTCTTATTTCTAATTCTGTTTCGAGAACTTTGCTTAATATAAGTTTTCTCCGGGCCTCGGTTTTTTTTTTTACTTTTTACTTCCGTCGCTGCTAAGTTTGTGCGGGCAGTCCACAGTGTCTAGGTGTTGTGGTCTTTTTGTTTCCACGCAACCACCCCAAGGTAGCGGCGGCCCCCTCCAGCGCCTCCGCCTTATCCCCCCTAGGGCATTTCCATCGGGCCACAAATAGCTTTTCAGATTTTCTAGAGTTTCTGAGGGAACTGCAAGGGTGTACGGAACCACAGAGATGCCGGCACCCACTCGAGCCACCACTGCAGCCGAGGCCGCCGCAGGGCGTGCCGGACAGGCAGCCCGCGGCAGATCTTTCCGCACGAAAGCCGCAGCTACTTCGCAAAATGTTCTTTACTGTGCGGGTTCCGCTGTTAGGTGCACTTTGCAGCGGCGTCTGGGGCTCTCGGGGCTTCTGTTCGTGTCCATGGTCACTTTGGTGTTCAGCCGCAGCGCGTTCGCACTGGATGCACCCCAGATCCCTCCAGAAGAGAGCACGTTTCTATCCCCGAATTTGCCGAGTTCCAATGCAGCAGCCCACGTAGAAGCTGAGTCTGCCGGGGGGGCGGATCAGCAGCAGCAGCAGCGAGTGGAAGCAATGAAGCAGCTGCTTCCCGCAGCAGCGCGTTTGGCCGCAGCGCTGGGTACGGAGGAGGCGCAGGAGCTGCTGAAGGTCGCTGAGGCGCTGGTGCCGCCGCCAGGAACAAAAGTGCATCCAAAAGAGCTGGAGGCTGGGGCGGAAATCCTGGTGTCGGCGCTGAGCAGTTTGCAAAGCATGGCCGTGGCGCGCGCTGCTGCTCTCGCGCAGCAGCAGGAGCAGCAGCAGGGCTCCTTCCCCGAGCTGGAGGTGCGCGATCCGCCCCCGCAGAACAACGGAGAACTCGAAGTGATCGACGTCGCTGACGAGCTCGAAGGCAACGACACAGCGCTCACTTTCCTCAAACTCCATCGCTCTCTGGCGGAAGCTGCAGCGCAGCTGCAGTCGAGCTTTGCAGAGGTGAGCCACGGTGTACAGACAGCGCAGCAGTTCCACACTGAGGCCGACACCCCCGCGCTTGCTGCTGCTGCTGCTGACCTCGAGCTGCTGTCGCACTTTTCGGGATCTTTGGAGCACTTGAAAGCTCTCGCGACTCCAATTCGAGACAGAGCTTACGACAGCATGCGGATAGTGAAGCTGCGGAGGGGCGAAGAGGTGCTGGAGGAGGTGGGGGCGGAGCTGCGGCTGGTGAACATCACCATGCAGCTGGCCGAGGAAGCAGCAACAGCAGAAACTGCTGCTGCAGCAAACGCTGTTTTCCAGCGAATGGAGGAAATTTCCGGAGACCTGGAGACGCTGCTGGGGCACCTGCGCGCCAACATCGAACAAGTGCGAAGAAGCGTCACAATGAAGCAGATTTCCCTCGCCAGCGACCGGCTGGAAGCAACAGCAGCACGAGCCAGCAGCCTTCTTGAAAACCTGAAAAACGAAGCCAAGGCGCTGCCCCCCCTTCCGGCCGAAATCCAAAGCAGCAGCAGCAGAAGAAGCGGCGAAAGGGCCATTGCAGCAGAGGCGGACCGCCACCACGAGAACATTCTCGCCGGCGCCGCTGCCGTGCGCAGAGCCCTCGAGGACGCTCGCAAGAAGATCCAAAGCCTCAGCAGCAGCAGCAGCCGCAGCAACCGCAGCAACCGCAACTCTAAGAGAGGTCTGCAGCACGTGGGCTCCTCCATTTCCGCAGCACTGATGAGAAGGCTGCGGGAAATCTCGAGCCAAACGGAAAGCTCGGTGCGGCAGGCGGAAAGCCTCGTGGAGGCGGTGCCGTCAGTGAGGAGCCCCGAAGCTGCACTGAAGAGTCTGCGGCGGCTGGCGGAGATTTCGGTGGAGTTGGTGCGGAAGAAAGAAGAGTCGCAGCTGCTGCTGCTGGAGGGGGAGCTGGTGAGGGCTCTGGACAAGGACGCGCAGCACCTGGTGGCGGCAGCAGCGTACTACATCGCCCACCCCTTCGATCCCGACTCCCGGGAAGCAGAATGCATGCAAGGGGACCACAAACAGTTCAAAGAAATGATGGAAATGCTCAGCAGCGCGGAGTCCGTGGTCGACGCCGAAGATCTCGTGTCCGCAGCCCGCTTTGCTGCTGCTTCCATGCGCGACACTCTGGCCCAGCACCGCAGGAAGGACAGCGAAAAGCAGTCGGAGCCAGTGAAGGGCGAGCCGTGAACGCCTTCACGTGCTGCAGAGTTTAGTTCTTTTAGTTATAGTTTTCGTCTTCAGTTGCTGTGCAACTCGAGTGCATGCTTCGCGCGCCTAGCCTGCGCCCCTGTTCGCCCAAAGAAACGGGAAGTCGCAGCGAAAAGTGTTGTGCCTTTTTGTCCAAGATGAAACTTGGGAAAATGCCTTTCCTTTCCGCGCAGCGAAGCCTCAGCTTTTGCTGCTCTTCAGATTCCGTGCTGCTTCTTTCTCACTTTAGTGCATGCAGCGCTTGACAGCCTTTCTCGAAGTGCTGCTTCTTTTCTCGCTTTAGTGCATGCAGCCTTCACAGTATTCGTCGTAGCCAAGACGCCAAAAGGCTGTCGGAAGTTTCAGCGGCTGGACTTCAGCCGCCATGAGCTCATGTCTCATTTCGTTTTGCATTGACCGCCACTCAGTGTTTCTTGCGGAGCAGTATGCAGATTTTCATAAGAGAAATAGCTCGCGCGGATTAAGAGCATTTCAAATAGACAAAAGTGTAGTAGGTGGCGAGAATGCGAAAAGGCGTCTCAGTTGAATGGAAGTCACGTATAGTTGCACCGCTGAGCTTCGCTGAGGCTAAGAAGTCATCTATACCCCCGGTCAGCGAAACTAAGAGCATACTTTCCAATTCATTTTGATTAGAAAGATACATCGCCACGCAATATCCTCGCTGACTGCAAACTGCTTACGAGACCTTGATGCGCACTTGGTAACTTTGTGGAGTTTCTGCAGTACTGTTTTTTTGGCTTCCGCCTGTCACCTGTACCAAGGTTTCCAGTTGACATGCTGGTTTTGCTTCCTATAGAAATCCAAAAGTAAGGGAAACCTGTTGATGCCGCCCAAGTAGCAAGTGGAGTACTGGCTGCTGCATCTTAACGATTCCCAAGTTTCTGCACCTGCAGCAGCTCAGCAGCAGCATTCCAAGCTGACACTTCTACAAAGTGAATTATGGATAGGCATTATGTGCTTTGGTTAGCGACAAAGACTTGTTTTCCTCTTAGAGGAACCCCTCAGTTCTGCTTTTTCGTGACAGATGCACTTAGTATCTTTTCTTTAGTGGCTACCCAGTGCAGCCGTTGCCTATTGCACTGTTTGTGTCTGCTGCGGAGATTGCATGCGTTTCAGACCTCCAGTCCAATTTCCAGTTTGTGCAATACAGCACCCCCGACACGCAGGCTAGTTAGTACCAGCTTCCGCCACAACAGCAAGAGTAACGGGTGTGCTTTCTTTTAGTTTCCACTTTCGAAGTAGAAATAAACAACCGGCGACGCATCTAGAAAGCTAAACTTGAATAGTTTCGTTGAACAAGCACCTCTGAGGCGCTGTGCATGCATTCGTGAGCCAACGAGGCAGCGGCCCCGCAGTGATCTCAGCTCTTAGTGGCAAGCTACTCCTCTCCTCGATGCCATTCAACAAAGTTGTAGTGCAAGAAGAAGAAAAGCCTGAGATCTAAACTGTTTGGCAGTGGCAGCGTGCGTGGGAGTCCAAATGGATTAGGAAACAAGCTCTAAATCTGAAAAGATCCAGAGTAGCCGAGAGTTTGGGCTGGTTGAGATTCTGGGACTGAGCGCCGAGCAGGTGCCGCCAGTATGTCCTATTTAGGAGTGCGCAGATAGCAGCTCACATCAACAGCCAGCTGCTGCTGACGCTGCAGTTGCTGCTGCTGCAGCTGCTGCAGCTGCTGCAGCAGACGTCTGCACTGTCTGTCCATACAGCCTATATCACACTTGCACGCTTCGCAGGGGCCCCTCCAGCTTCCAAATAGCTGAAGCCGGGGGGCCCCTGGCGAGGCTCGGGGAACGGCACAGTCAAGGGGCCTTTGCAAAGCAAGAAAGTCTGAAAGAAGTGCAGCAAAGAGCCAGAAACAGAAAAGCAGCGGTCCCAGCAGCACAAAGCGGGAGCAGCAAACCAAAAAACGAAAGGAAGCAGCTGATCTGTAGTCGAAATGGAGGTAATTGCGTGCCGCCCAAGCAGCAGGCCTTTGCCGGCTCTGAAGGCTTCAAGTCCCGCTGCTGCTGCTGCTGCTGCTGCTGCTGCGGCTGCAGGCCGCTGCTCCTGTTGCTGGCAAGACAGCAGGCCGCGCCCACCGTGCAAAAGCCCTAGCTAGCCCTGTCCCGGAGAGTGGCTTCGTTGGAGTTTGCGCGTTTTTAAGTTTCCAAATCGAGTTCGATTTCGAAGTGGTTTGGAAATAGATTTGGATTTCAGTTGAAGAGCCCCCCCCTTTGGAGCTTGTAGGCCTCGAGTTCGAGTTCGTCAGCGAGGGAGCGCATGGCTGCTGCTGCTGCTGCAGCGTCCCAGAGGGTCTTTGCGAGCTGCAGCTCCTTGCGGGCGCGGAGGTACTGCGCATGCAGCTGCAGCGCAGCAGCACTTTGCTGCAGCAGCAAGCTCGCCGCATGCGCGCGGGCGTCGATGTCTTCAACTTGCAACTCAATGAGGCCCGTGAGCCTCTGGCGGGCAATTTGCCTCGCGAGGCTGTGGCTCGTTTCTATGAGCGAGCCCAGGGCCTTTTTGCTGTGTTCCAAATCCCTAACTATTTGCTGCCCGGGGCCCCTCTCCGCAGCAGCAGCAAGCCCCACGTCGAGGGCCCCTATGAGGGCCTCTGCGTCGTCGACCCGCAGCAGCAGGTCCTCCAGGGCCCCCAGGGTCACCTCCCGGCTCAAGTACCCGCTGCTGCTGCTGCTGCTGCTGCTGCTGCTGCTGCTGTCGCCCCGCCGCGGCCGCGCTGCGTTGCCCTTGGCCTCTGCCAAAATGCTGCGCACCAAAGCCTTGTAGGGCGCGCTGCGCAGCCCCACACGGCTAGCTGCTATGGCTAGCCGCTGCAGCTTTGCTGCTTCGAGGGCTTCGCAGGGGCGCGGCAGCTGCAGCAAACTGGCCCAGCACTCGTCTAAGTAGCTAGCTATGGCTGGCTCTTGTGCTGCAGCACGCGTGGCTAGCTCCAGCAGCCGCCCCAAGTTCCCCGCAACTCCCAAGTCCCCCAAAGCCCTTTCATGCAGAGTCAGCAGCTGCGAGGCACTAACGAACAAGCCCTGGGCCCTCTCGAGAGCTGCCTGGCTGCGCTCCTCGGGGGCCTCTGCTGCTGCTGCTGCTGCTGCTGCGAGCGCGCTGCGGTGCTCGCCGCCCCCCTGCTGCAGCAGCAGCTGCTGCTGCAGCAAATGCATGTACCCGTCCAGCAGGTCCAAGTCCCCCTCCGCCTGTCTTGCAAACTTCTCCCTGCGAGCTGCCAGCAGCGCCCGCACAGTCTCCGTGACGTTGCGCTTGACTTCTGCTGCTGCTGCTGCTGCTTCGGCCCGCGCTGCAGCAGCGCGCTTCATGCAGGCGAGGTCTGCTGCTGCTGCTGCCAGCAGCGGCCACTGCTGCTCGTCCGCGAACTCCTGCTGCTGCAGCAGCTGCTGCCGCGCCAGCTGAAACTGCCGCTGCAGCCCCTGCTCGCTCTCCTGCAGCGACTTCAGAGTCTGCACAAACGGTCCCGTCTCAGCCTCAGCTTGTTGGTTTGCTGCTACTTGTTCAATTATTTTTTCTTCCCAATCTTCAAGGAAGCAGCCATGGAATTCTCTCTGGCTGGCCTCCAGCAGGCTGGCCTCCTGCACGGCTGCGTCGTGCAGCAGCCGCAGCAGCGCCAGGGCCTCTTCTGCTGCGCGTTCTGCTGCAGCCGCGGCCAGCTCCGGCGCGGCTGCTGCTGCGTCTCCTGCTGCTGCAGCAGGAACCTCCACTTGCTGCCGGTACAGCTGCAGCAGCCGCTGCGCCTCCGGGCTGTCCACGGCCCCCGCCAGGCTGCTCACTACGGGCTCCAGGGCTCGCAGGCCTTCGAGGCGGCCAAGTGCTGCAGCGAGAGCTGCGTCGCGCCTTTCCCACGCCCGCCGCTGCTGCTGTTGTTGCTGCTGCTGCTGCAGCAGCAGCCGCAGCGCGGAACGCCCTGACGCGGCTGCCGACACCGCCAGGACAAGACACGCCAGAAGCCCCAGAGACAGACTCAGCCGCGAGGGCCTGCGGGGCTGGGCGAAGCCCCGCGCCCGCCGCCCGGGGCCTGCTGCAGCAGCAGCAGACACCGGCGCGCCCCCTGCTGCTGCTGCTGCTGCTGCGCCAGAACGGCCCGCCAGGGCAGCAGCAGCAGCCCGGCCCCCCGGAAGAGCTGCCGCCGCGGGGGCAGAGGCGGGATCGGGGGGAAAGAGGGTTGGCTCTTCGTCGAATTCGTTTTGGAAAGTGAAGAGGTCTGCTGTTTCTGCTCCTGTTGCTGCTGCAGAGTCTGTGGGAATAAACAAATGCTCCAGAGTGTTCGTCTCCGGCAAGTCTGCAGCAGCGACGGAGTGTCGCGGGAAAGCCAAATTGGAAACGCAGCCCAGAGCCCACAGCAGCGCGGGAGCCACGCATCTTCTCCTCCGCCTTCGCCTCGCAGGCCGCATCATCAGCCCAAGAGTTCTAGAGCCCGAAATGCGAAATTAAATTAAAAAATAACTCAGGGATTGTGCATCCCGAGGGAAGTCGTGGGAGCCCCGATCAGTCGGTGCACACTCGGCAACGAGCGGCTGGGGAAGCTGCTGCGGTTTCCTCGCTATTTTCGCCGGAAAGCGACCTCCAAAATTCATGATATTTACGAAGAAACATAAAAGAAGTCAATTATGCTGCTCTTACCGCCTCGTCGCCAACAAAAACTGCGCGTTCAAGTGTCTATACGGTCTGGCATCGATACTCTGAAACACCGGTGAGGCATCGACTCGCGTTCCTCGCGGACGCCAAATTGAATCTTCTTTTCTTTGCATTTTTCCTGAAATGAAAATAAAGTTTTACTGTCACTCCATGCAAAACAACAGCCACCTGCTTTCCATTTGAGTCGCGTACAATGAAACCACATATGGCACAGAAACATAGGGAAGAAGCACCTGCGGTCTTCAGCATTTGGGCTTTCGCAGTGTTTCCCCTGCACAGTTGAATCAAACGCTTCAAATTAATTGCTTATTAACTTAAATTCACATTTATTTTTAAAATATTGTTTGACCCTCCCTCGCCTTCGCAACAGATGCTCTCCCCCAGCGCGCTGTGCTGCCATAGTAACGGACCAGCTTTCCAATGTTTGGCGTTTTCACATTTGCCACATGAACAGCAATAAGTCCATTTAAAATATTTAATATTGAGTTAGTACTCCATAGTACTGCACTGGGCTTGGCTGAGAGCCCCTGCCCTGTCCCAGAACCCAAGACAGTGGGGCTTCAGAATAATAAGAAAGAATTACTTTAAAAGCGCCAACGGCCTTCCCCCACTCTCACTGCCAGTTGTGAAGCGCTAAGATATGGCAGGGGGGCCGGGGCCGAGGGGCTTAGCAGCCCCGGCCTAGTTTGGTGTTTGTTGAGGAACTTCAAAGCTCCATACATTACAGGAGAAGTGAAAATCAAAACTTACTTCTTGGTAGCCACAGCCAAGACCTTGAAGAGGGTAGGGTAATAAACTCAGGACTTAAGTGCCATATAGAGATTCTGAGACAGCTTGCCTTTTATGTGAGCCTCAGTGCCATTTGGGTGAATATTCTGTGAAGATTTGTGCAGCTCAGTCGTAGACATTTAGATCTTTTCGCTCCCATATCAACACGCAGCGGGATAGCAACAGTGACTGTTTTGTTTTGTCGGAAAGAATGCAGTTAGCGCTCATTCCCCAATGTTTGTGGGCTCAGAGTCTACTGCTCAACAGTTTTCTATAGGTTGCCTCAAGGCCATATGTTCAGATAAGGGTCACCTGCTCGAATAGTGCTTCCTCTTTAATAGTTAATTGTTGAACTTCTTTGCTTTTACTCTTTCTGTAGAGTGGCTTCGACAGGGCTCTGGTCTTTCATATGTCGAACATAAACTCGAAGCTCCTGAGGTTCCAGCTGTACTCTTTAGTTATTCTGAAGCCGTGCTACACTGCCTTTAGCATCAACTAGGCTGCTGCTTTCATCTTAGAGTCAAAACAAGTCACCACAGCTATTGGTTCTATACTCCAGGCTTTTTTAATTCAGGGAGCCTAGGTAGTCGCATGTCGAGATAGATCCTCAACAACAACTTCTTTTGACACTCAAGGATTCCTATAAGCCGACGTGAAACAAAGTAACTCGGGGTCAAATATTCTTGCAGGCATCAACAGCAGCAGCCAAATGAACTATAAGCACTGTAGAGACTTTATGTAAAATGTTTGAGAGCTTTTTGTGGTTGAAACTCCCTGCAAATGTCTTCAGCGTTCTCCAGCGAAAATTTATATGAGAATACAAAGCAGCCCCGTTTATATCTTCATGCAATTTGCCCTGACTATTTCAGGTCCTGAGGGGGTCTTCTTACAACAATACTGTCATTTTCCAATGTCTAAATTGAACGAATAGGAGGGTCCCAATGATTGTTTTTCCTACGGGCCGTGTATTACCTCATTTGGCAAACATAATGAACTTTAAAGACTTGTAGGACATGATCTGTACGACCACAAATCACGGGCTGTGCAGGAACGTGGATGCTTGGGGCAAAACTTCGCTTTGCCTGTGCGCGTCTAGTAAATCAACTTCAAAGCATGTATGAAGACTGAGGCTTCTCTAGCTCCCACAAATTCCCTGTGTTTCCAGCACCCTAGAGATATTGCAGAGCGCACTGGTACGATGTGACACAGCTCAAGCCTTGAGGGTCATATAATTCAGAATGTGCAGAATCGCGTAACGCATAAAAATAATCAAAAATAAAAAGGAACCAGTCCTCGTGCAGTAAGTCCTGGCATGCTCTGCAACTAGAGGGAGACAGCGGGGCCAGCAAAAGACCCTGAAGCTGCTATGCGCAGCACGCCCAGTAGACAAAACATCGGGAGAAGGCATATGCATTTCAGGAAATGGGGACTTACAAGAATGTTCATTAAATTTGTTTTGTTCAATAATATCAACGTTTAGGAGTGAGGGTCATGAGCAGATGCAGCGGAACAACAGAGAGACGTCGGAGCCGAGCTGAACGTAGCCACTGTCATTTTCTCACTGCATAGGCATGCGAAGAACTGCAGCCGCAGTGCTTCTTGCAAGCCTCAACTGTTCTTTCTGTATGCAGAGCACAACGGGCCCAATAGCCCGAGAACTAGGGCTAACTAAGTCTGTTGCTGTGTATATGAGATACATTTACTACGTCAATCTACACACTTTAAAATGTAGAACCCTGAAGACTTTCGGCTTCTTTTGGTTGCATTGTATTGCTGCACACTTCTGCTCCTGAAGCAGGAGCCAAGAAGCATTAGTTTTCTCAGTCACATCTGAATCTAGGGCAAAAGAGGTAGTCCACCTGCTATCGGAAAGAGCTAGGCATAATATCTCTAAACAATTGGCGTCACATATTATTTGTCGCTGAGATTAGAGAATCAATTGACTGTTAGGCTTTCACTAAACCGCCAGTTCAAGCAAGAAACGCAGCACGGGGCAGCAGAAGAGGCAACATCTCCAGCAACAGCAGATGCAGGAGCAACAGGAGCAACTGCAGCATCACAGCAGACACATTCGGCGGCAGCAGCAGCAAAAACCACAACAGCGACAGCAACTGCAACCAAAACTGCAAATGCAAGGGCAGCAGCAGCTGCAGCAACAGATGCAGCAAACTGCGTGGCTGCAAGAGCTCCAGCAGCCGCAGCAGCATTAATGAATGTAAGTGCAGCTGCAGAGGTAATTACAATATTAGCGGCAGCTGCTGCAGCAGCAGCAACTGCGACACAGACCGCATGCGCAGCAGCAACAACCGCTAAAGCACGCAAATGCGTTGCTCTCCACAGCGGCGCTTGTGGCTGCAGATTCCTGCGCTGGTGAGAAATTTAATTTGGCAGCTGAGCTGATTCTTGATACGCTGCTGTCCCACAGGGCCAAGCAAAGTTCTCCCCTGTGGTGGAGATCGCTTCCCCAGGTGCTGCAGTGCTGCAGCTTTGATCAAATTGCTGCTGCTTTTGACACTGACTCTACCAAAAAAATGTCTTAGAAAACGTTTGAGGCCATAGGAGAAGCGTTGGATTAGACTGGCAGCTGATATCTCCGACTATCAAGCTCTAAGACGATTCCAGCCTTAGTCTGTAAGGCTTCAGATGTAGTCTCTAAGACTTCCCAGTTAGTAAATGCGCACTTCTTTGCTTCTGTATAGGCTACTGTCCCACACTTAGGGGCCTTCTCAAAGTGCCAGCTGTTTAGCTTAACAGTTTATTTAAAATTGTGGTGCTGGCAGAGTGACTCGTGGGTACTGTCGTTACACCTCGCAACTAGCAGCAACCAGCAAATGACAAAGGGCTTCTCTGCTGCTGCTGCTGCTGCTGCTGATTAGACAGCTGCGCAGCACTTTCTAGACACAGGCTATGAGCTGCGAGAAGTCTTTTGTGGTAATTGTTTTATTTCATTTCAAGAGCTTGTCTTTCCCCCATGTTTCGAACATTGCTGCACAGAAGGAAGTTCGTTATACTTATAAAAGTGGTGGAAAATAAATTCGAAGGCCACAGCAGTGCAGCTAAATACGAAGTTCCGAAATTCAAGAACTTTGGAAATTACAACTGCGGTGCATTCTGGGAAGTGACCACGTTCCTTCGACGCCATTTCAAGCTCCCACCCCTCACTGAGTCCCAATAATTGTAAAAGTATTAAAATAAAAACAAAACAATATATGAATTTAATTAAGGCGGACCGCAGTTGCCTAATAGAGTGTGACGAGCGTCATAGGGTGCATGCAGCACAACAAGGGCTCGTGAATGCCTCTAGAACGGAAGCTATCCACAAATCTCATTTTAGGCGAATTAAATGGACAAATAACAATTTATATTTGAAAATTAAACTCTAAAGAAGCAGAGTTTCGGGGTATTGTTTCGCGGCGTTCTGCGCGCAGGCAGCAGACGAGCACTGTGCCTAGGGTGTTGCGCAGCAGCGGATGGCGATAGACTGCGACGGGCGTGTGCTTTTGCGTGCAAATAGTCATTCTTAATGAATAGTGCTTGTGTTTACTGTGAAAAGAAAGGGTCAGTATGAATCTGTTGGTCTGTCGTCAGGTTCAAGTCGCGGTGTACGTACATCGCGATGAGCTGCAGTGGACGCCGGTCTGATTCGTCCGCGTCGGTTTTGAGCGCGAGTGGCTTCACTTTTGGTGTTTTTGCGTGGAAGCGAGTGTAATCAGGTCAAAATAGGTTGTGAGGAAGTGGAAGTTGTGCAGTTTGGGCTTCAATGCACCGGTGTTCGCGCCGTGTTAGCAGGTTGGGCTGCCGGCAGTGGCGCGTTCTAGGGCGTTTCCGCGGGGATTTCGGAGCTTTTTGCGTCTTTTTGGGCGTTTTTCGCGGCCTTTGAAGCGGCAGTGCGCGATGGAGGCGGCGGAGGTGAGTGGGGCGGGGATCGCGGCGATCGCGCACATCTGGGAGGCGATCTTCAGCAGCCTGGGCGACTCCGCCTGCAGCCTGAAGAGCCTCGCCGCCGCGCCCTTCCCCCACAGCCTCATTTGCTTCGCCGCGCCGCTGCTGCAGGCCGCCACCTTCGCCGTGCTGCTGTGTCTGCACTGCGCGTTGTTTGCAATATCTGTGCTGCACCCGCGGGGGTCTTTGTGTCTGGTGCCGCGGCCCTTTGCTGCTGCTCCCGACCTCCTTGAACTCGAAGTCCGCTGCATGCAGTGGGCCTGTCTTTGTCTTTACCTCCTCACCACCGCCTTCCTCACTTCCGTCTTGCTTCCTTTTTCCGCGCTCTTCGAGCTAAACCGCCAATTTAGGGTTTAGGGTTCCCCCAAACCCTTTTTCGGGCTTCCCCCCGCACCCAGCCGCACCTGCGCGCCCGCTCGCCCCCCAGCAGCAAACAGCCGGCCTCCTCAGGGCCTTCGCAGCGGCCGCGGCCGCGGCTAGGGTTTAGGGTTTAGGGTTTAGGGTTTAGGGTTTGCTGCAAGGCAGGTATGATTGTTTCGCGGCGGCTTGCAGCGCCTCTGCATGCGGCGGTTTGGCCACTTCTGCTGCAGCACAACGCGAAGAAATGTTTATTTGCTTTTTAATTGTTTACAAATTGTGTCCGCAGTCGCGGCGCAGCAGGTGTTTGCGGTGTATGTACAGCAGCGGAATCGCACAACAGCCACCCGGGCCTTTGCATGCAGCAGTTATTATTATTTGCGCTTTTCAACAGAGCTGCGGAAACGCAGTTGCTGTAGCAGCAGCAGCAGCTGCTGCTGCTGCTGCAGCGGTAAAGCGCGCTGCTGCAGCAGCAGTTGCAGCAACAGCTGCAGGTGCCACAGCTGCAACGCAGCTACGTCAGGTGCAGCAGCAGCAACACCAGCAGCAGCAGCAGCGCGGGCTGCTGCTGCTGCTGCAGCGCCCCTCGGGGCTTTGGCTGCATGCCTTGCATGCGCCGTATTTGTTTGCAAATTTTGAGTTTTGTTTCGGGACAGACAAACGCGATAAGTTCGCGCAGGGCTCGCGCAAACCCTAATTTAGGGTTTACGACTCAAATTTAGGGTTTAGGTCCTTCAAAGCCACTTTGCTGTCCCTCTGAATTGTGTAAAAGATCGAAACTTCGCATCTTTGCTGCTGATTTGCATCTCAGCCACTTGTTCGTTCTTCAATTAACACTTTTAGTTTTTAAATTCAAAACAAGAAGAAAAGAAATAACAGAAGGTGCAGCAATTCGAAAAAAACGACTGTCTCGAAAGGTCCATATTCATCCCTCATTGCTGCTGCTCGCAGCAGCAGCAGCAGCAGCCATGGCAGCCGCAGCAGCAATGGCAGCTGCAGCAGCAGCAGCAGTTGCTGCTGCAGATAAGCAGCTAGACAGGCGAAGCTTAGCGCCCGCGGAGTCCCCGAGGATGGGAAGTTCAGGTGTACGTACACCGCAAAAAGAGGCAGCAAGCAAAGCTGAGGTGTAAGTACACCGCAGAAGAGGCAAGAAGCAGAGGCAGCGAATGGGGAGATGTAAATCTATTGGTAGAGGCTGGTCTGCTTCATTATCGCCATGAACTCCTCTTTGCTGACTGCAGACACAAACCAAACCCTAAACCCCAAAAGAGTGTATACCTCAGGAGGCGGAAACGCCAAACCCTTGGACAAACAGGAGAGGGCGAAACTGAATGCCGATTCAAATGAAAAAGGAACCAAATTAGATTTAAATTCAAAATAATAATTGAATTTTAATTTAAAAAGGGAATTTCAAACTCTGGAGTTATTTTTGAATTATTTCGCAACTCACTTTCGCCGTCCATGTCTCGGTCGAATTCGTCGATCATCGCCTGCAGCTCTTCGTCTGGCAAATCTTCTCCCTGGAAAAGACGCAAATTGACAAATAATATTTCTTTATTTATTCATTTGTTTGTTTTTAACTTTTAATTAATGCAAAGAGCATGGAGAACGTGAACCCGGAAGGAACACCCGCGCGGCGCGTGCTGCGGTGTACGTACACCTGAGCGCGGCCACCCGTGTTCACTTCCGATTCAAGTTTCAGTTTCAGTTTCTGACAGGTCTTTTGGAGTTAATTTTTGTCAATATTCGCTTCAATAAGGAATTAAACTTGAACCAATTGAATAATTTGAGCTATTTCGTCGTTTTATTTCGTCAAAACCCCGTTTTCACGCACGAGCTCGCGAGCCACTCGCCGCAAATTCTTTATCGAAATCTTCCCCGTGTTGTCGTCGTCGAAGAGGCGGAAAGCTTTCAGCAGTTCCTCCGCAGGATCTCTTTCGAGGAACTTTTGGGTCACTGCGAACACAAAAAGTCCATTCAATTAAATAAAATTCAATCTACTGCTGAGTTCCATTTGATTCAATTAACTTCTGAATTCCATTTGGTTCAATCAACCTCTCAATTCCATTTAATTCAATTTACTTCTGAGTTCCATTTAATTCGATTAACTTCTGAATTCCACTTAATTCAGTGTATTTCTGAATTCCATTTAATTCAATTTACTTCCGAATTCAATTTACTTCCGAACTCCATTTAATTCAATTTACTTCTGAGTTCCATTTAATTCAATTTACTTCCGAATTCCATTTAATTCAATTTACTTCAAAAGGTCAATTCAATTGACTTTTGAATTCCATTTAATTCAATTAATTTCAGTAATCCATTTCAATTAGTTTGAGTCAAACAAAAGATGAATTCTTTTTGTCCTCAATTAATGCGATATCTTTATGAATCGCAGCAGCTGATATGATTTAACAATTAAATTAAATTAATTGATTTAGGTAATTTAATTGAGGCAATTCAATTAGAAGGATAATTCAATTAAAATAACTCAATGAGAAAAAATTAAAAATAAATTTAATTCAATTAATGAGTCAAGCTGGTGCTGGCTGCTCTCTGTCTTGCGCTCATTACTTTTAATTTAATCATAAAAGTAAATTTCAAATTTAGATTAATCTTTTAATTAGAAAGACATGAGGAAAAAGATGATGCCACGGAGTGCAGTGACCTCAAACCGCCCCAAACCCTAAACCCTAAACCTTAAACCCTAAACCCTAAACCCTCACTGATCTCTTCGAAGTCGCTTTGGGTTATAAAGCCTGTGTTTTGCTTGTCATAAGAGCGCATAAGTTCCTGCACATAAGCCTTTTTGACATCAAACCCTAGTGCCCTCATGGCGACCTGCAGGAGAAAACAGGAGTTTAAGTTGAATAAATTGAAATAAAAAAGAAAAAAGAATAAAAAAGAAGAAAAGGGAACAAAAAAGAATAAAAAAAGAGGGAACAAGTAAAAGAATTCATAAAAATGAAGAAAAGCGATGCGCCCGACCGCGCGCGCGCAGGCCTGCGGTGTACGTACACCTGGAGTTTCAGGTGTACGCGCAGACACCTGAAGAGCGCACGCACCTTCAACTCATGGTAGTCCATTTTTCCGGTTTTTTCGGAATCAAACAATTCAAAAGCTTCTTTAATTTCCAACTTCTGTTCTTCTCTCAGTTCCCGACGCCGGGGGCCCCGAGACCCTGCTGCTGCTGCTCCGGGGCCCCGGGGGCCCCCAAAGGCCAGCGGGCCCCCCAGTTCGGGTTTTCGGCTCATGGGGGAGTTCTGGGGTGTACGTACACCCGAAATTAAGGCCAGGGGCCCCAGAAGCAGCAACGGGAAAGGGGCCTTTTCTGCAGCTCCTCCTGCTGCTGGGTTTTGGCCTATTGAACCGCTTAAACAGCTGATGATGCTGTTGCTGCTGCTGCTGTTGTTCCTGCTGCTGCTGCTGTTGCTGCTGCTTCCCTTGCCATGAGCTGCTGCAGCACCGCCGCTGGCTGCTGCTGCATTGGTGCAGCAGCTGAAGGGGGGCCGCGAGGGGCTAAAACTGCAAAGAGGAATTCGGCAAACTCAAATTTTGGATTTGTTGAATTAAAATTTGCAAAAAGGGAAAAGTGAAGGCCGAGGAGGCTCAGGGGGCTCTGGGGCGCGGCGCTGAGGTGTCCGTACAGTGCAGCGAAGGCCACCGCGCAGCAAACTGCGCCAAATGAACTTCAGTTCTTTTAAAAATGATTTTATAAATGTCTTAGTGGAAATCTGCAGCAAAAAGAGGCGCCGTCGCGGGGGGGGGGCGGGCGCTGCCAGCGGTGGAGGAGCCCCGGTGATCGCTTCGGGGCGGGCGTGTTGGAAGTTTTGGTCTAATTTTGAATAATTTCGAATTAATTGGGTATTAAAAAGCATTTAAATGTATTTTAAAAGCTTTTAAATATTTTTAAACCGTAAAAAACGCCCAGGAACTCAACTGCAGACAGTGGCGCGGCTGTCGGCGGCGACGCCGCCGCTGCATGCGCGGCGTTGGCTGCGAGCTTCTTTTTGCAAAATTTAATCTTTATTTTTTATTTTTTAAAAATAAAACGAAATAATTCTTCGTTTCTTCTTCTTTGCAATTTAAAAAGAAGGGATAACTCCTATCTGCGCCCCCAGCCGCCGCCCCCCTCTGCCTTTTTCCTTTTCGAATTCGATTTCAAATTCAGCTTTTCTGCGGTGTACGTACACCCCAGAACGCGCGCTGCTGCGCTCGGGTGTCCGCGCGCGCAGCTGGCGGCTGATCTGCGACAATTAAAGTTTCTTTTTGTTTTATTTCACTTCTCTTCTTTTTAATCTGAAATGGACGAAGTTGCGGATGTGCCCTACGAAGGAGTCATTGGCTGGCTCCTCTGCCGCAGAATGCTGCCTGAAGACTATCACGTGCGGCTGAAGGGTGCGCTGCTGCAGCAAGCGCAGCCGCAAAAGCGCATGCAGCAGCAGCAGCAGCAGCAGCAGCAGCAGCAGCTTGAACTGCCGCAGTGTCTTTGCTTCTGCGCCGCAGGCATGACAGCGCACATAAACCTGGCACTCGAGAAGCCCCCCGAAAGCCCAGAGGCCTGTCGATTCATCAAAGAAAGAAAAGAATGCCATTTCGGATATAAAGAAATAAACTCATTGGTAGAGATCCTTCAGAAGGAGGGGGTGGGTTGAAAATTGAGGTGTACGTACACCTCAGCGCTGCGCAGCGCCGCGCGGGCCGTTTTTCGCGCCTCTTCCACCGCGTCTTTTCGAGCTTTTTGAACTCCAAAGTGGCATTTAGTTTAGCTAATTTAGTTTATAAAAGTGGACTTCCCTTTATTTATTTATTTATTTATCATTTCTGCGCGCCAGGCGACCGAGGGAATCCTCGCGAAAGCCTTCGGCTCTGCCGTGTACAGACAGTGGCGCCGCCTGCAGCGAACCTTCCAGCAGCAAAATTTGCACTTGGCGGACATTTCTCGGTGCGTTTTGAAGCAAAAAAGCCAAAAAACTGTTTTTAAAATTTATTTTTAATTTTAATTTCATTTAATTTCATTTAATTTCATTTAATTCCTTTTAATTCGCTCAATTTCCACTCTTTTCCGCCCCTTCTGCCCCTCGCAGAGCCCTCGCCAGGGCTGCCAACGTCCTCGTGCCCGCGCAGCAGAAAACGCTGCAGCAGAAGCAAAGAATGGTATATGAAGTTAACTCAAATAATATTAATTAATTTAAACAATTTTAATTAAATAATTTTAAGTAAATAATAATAATTAAATGTTTTATAAAATAGTTAATTACTTTTAAGTCCCCTGCTGCTCTGGAATAAAGAGGGCCTCGCCCTAGCAACAGGAACGAATTCAGTTCCAGGAAGCATGCTGCTGCTGCTGGTGCAGTTGCTGCTGCTGCTGCTGCTGCAGTTGCTGCTGCTGCTGCTGCTGCAGTTGCTGCTGCTGCTGAGCGTACGAATCGCTTCGCATGCTTTATTTTGGGGCAGCTTTTCGGCCTTCTTTTGCTGCTATGTGTCTCTTAACTGTTTTTGCTTCTTCCTTTTCTGGCGGCACTTAACTAATAACAGCAGCAGCAGCAGCAGCAGCAGCAGCTTTGTGGCTGTTGTGCTGCTGCTGCAGCTGGCGGACAGCGAGAAGAAGGAGCAGCAGCTGCAGCAAGCAGCAGCAGCTGCGGAAGAAGTGTACAGGCAGCTGTGCACGAAGTATGGCATTGAAGAAGCAGCAGCAGCAGATCCGCTGCTGCTGCAGAAGCAGCTCCAGGTGTACGTACACCGCAAGCTGCCCGTGCGGCTGCAGCAAGCGCAGCAGCTGCTGCAGCTGCAGGGCGAGCAGCTGCTTTCCTTTTATCATTCTTTTGCTGCTTATGCAACTTCGGGGGCCCTTTCCAAGGAGGGGGAGGCCCCCCTGCTGCCGCTGCTGAGGCTGGTTGCTGCAGAGGGCAACATGGCGGTGGCAGCAGCAGCAGCAGCAGCGCCGGAGATCGCCCTGCTGCAGCAGCAGCTGCAGCAGCAGCAGCAGCAGCAAGACGCACAGTCCGCAGTGCAAATCGAAATTCAGCAGCAGGGAGAGGAAGGGGCCCCCCAAGAAGGGGCCCCTGCAGCAGACACGCGGGACTGGATTGTTGAGGAGGGAATAGAGGACAGCAGCAGCAGCAGCAGCAGCAGCAGCAGCAGTATTAAAGATACGCTTCTGGGCAATGACACGATTAGGCGGCAGCTGCTGCTGGAGCTCATGGAGCTGCGGGGCTTCCTCTACAGCCGCGTGCTGCAGTCTGCTGCAGCAACAAACAGCAGCAAAAACAAACAGCAGCAGCAGCAGCAGCAGAACTGGCAAGAAACCACCTCTCTCCCCAGTGAGCTCCAGAGGAAAAAAGAGGAGGTAATACACCCCAAACCCTAAACCCTAAACCCTGAACCCTCAACGCTCATATACAGGCAGCGTCTGGGAGCGAGCAGCAGGAACCTGCAGCAGCAGCAGCTGCTGCTGCTGCTACTGCTGCTCCTTTCTCTGCTACAACAGGTGGCGCACTTTGTTCCAGAATATATTCCCCGTGTCTCCTCTGCTGCTGCTGTTGCTGCCGCCGTTGCTGCTGCTGCTGCTGCAGCTGCTGGGGTACCAGGACTGCGTGGAGCAGCTGCAAGAGCTGCTGGGAGGTGCTGAGACACTGCAGCTGCTGCAGCTGCTGCATAACCAGGCGGCACTAGACTCGTAAACCCTAAACCCTAAACCCTAGACCCTAGACCCTAAACCCTTAACTTCAAACCCTACTCTTCTGTGATGAAGCCAAAGCTTTTATTATGGAGCAGAGCAGCCCTGTTCTTCAGGTGGCCGAGCAGCCGCGGTGGGCCTGCTGTCGATGCATCTGCTGCTGCTGCTGCTGCTGCTGCTGCTGCTGCTGCTGTTGCTGCTTTTCAGGTTATCGAATGAGGTTGCTGCTGCTCGGGCGGCTTGTCAGAAGCCCCTCAGTGCTGCCAAGGAGCAGCAGAGGAAGCAAGCGACGCTTAAGAGCGAAGTTCGCTGCTGCTGCTGCTGCTGCTGTTGCTGCTGTTGCTGCTGTTGCTGCTGCTTCTCCTGCTGGCTAATTGCCGGCTTCTGCCCGCGCTGCAGCTTCGTCTGCTGCTGCTGCTCTGACTTTGTTGCTGCTTTGGCTGCTGCTTGCTGCTGTTGCTGCTGCTATCGCCGACGCTGCTGCTGCTGCTGCTGCTGCCGGTTTTCTGCTGCCGCAGGTGGCAGCAGCAACTGCAGCACTCGAGAAGCAGCGGCGAGAGCTGCAGCAGCTGCAGGAGCTGCTGCAGCAGCAAATGGCAACAGCAATTTGCAGAAAAGTGCGGATAACGGGCATACCGAGAGAGCGGTTGCCGTGACTCTGGGGTGTATGTACACCTGATTTCTGGATTTAGGGTTTAGGGTTTAGGGTTTAGGGTTTGAGGGCCAGGCCACGAGGTGACAGCCAAAGCACGGGACTGGCTTTGGCTTGGAAAGCCTAAAGCTGAGGGTTTAGGGTTTAGGGTTTAGGGCTGCAGCGAAGACGCCGTGCTGCCCTGAAGCAGCGGCAAACGCTCGTTGCAATTCCCAAACCCTGCTGAAAAGAGTAAAAGCCCCTGCTGTAAACCCTAAACCGTAAACCCTAAACCCTAGTCCTTGGACGGCATACCAAGGAGTTGCTGCCCGCCGCTAGGACGAGAAGTTAGAAAGAAATTGGCGGATTGGTAAATCAAAAATAATAAAATGATCCTTAAAAAGCAACTACTAATAAATAAAAGCCCAAAAATGAACTTCTGCGCAAAAGCCGCGATTTTTCAATATCTGTTCTGAGGTGTACTACCACCTCAAACTGAACGTGCGAGATGACTGCTCGGACAACTGAAGACGAAACGACTGAACAATTAACAAAGAAAGATAATTTAAATTAATTAACGCAAATAAAAAAAATAATTTAATTAGTTATTCAAAAATGGATCAATTTCTCGGTTTTTGAACCTCCTCTTTTCAGTTTCCCAGGGGCGTCTGTCGCCGCTGCCTCCGCGGGACACATATATTATGCGGAAACATTTTTAAAAGGAAATTAAACAATTAAAATATAGAATATATTTGAAAACTATTTTAAATCGATAAACTGCTCATTTGATGTTTCATGAAGCCTCTGCAACCCGCAAGTACCCTACAAGTCACTCAGAAGCCCTTCGGGGGGCCCCCGAGGGGCCCCCGGGGGGCCCGCTACAGACCTGCTGGGGGCCCCTGGTGAACCCTTTGAAAATTTCCGTGCCGCAGCAGCAGCAGCTTTTATTTCCTTCTCTTTAAAGTAGAGTTTTGTTGCGAGTTGGGGTGTACGTACACAGCAGGCGATGAACAGGCGTAAACCCTAAACTCTCGCCTCGATCCTGGAGAGCAGCAGCCCAAACCCTAAACCCTAAACCCTAAACCCTAAACCCTAAACCCTAAACCCTAAACCCCATGCAGGCCATTGGGGCGGCTCGCCTACACGTTCCATGGGGCCCTCCTAAGCTGTTTGTACACCGCAGCTCATTCTTGAGGTGTACGTACACCCCAGCCCTCCCCAGGGCCCCCTTGGGGGGCCCCCAAAGATGCCCCTCGGGGTGCCCCCAGAGGACCCTTTTGGGGCCCCCGGGGGGCCCTCGTAGGAGTTTATGGCCCAAAGGGCAACAGCAGCAAGTGCTGCAGCAGCAAGTGCTGCAGCAGCAGCTGCAGCAGCAAATTGGAAATCAAAAGTGCTGCTTCGTTTTGTCTGCTGCAAGGCTGCGGGGTGATGAGGTGTACGTACACCCCAGTTCGAGCAGCGGGAGCGGCGAAAAGGACTCAAATGGCCCTTCAAAAAAGAATTTAAAAGAAAATTCAAAACTCCATTTATTGCAAAATGAAGAAGAAGCAGCAAAGACACACGCAGACCCGTTTGCTGCTGCCCACAGGCGAGGCAGCGACCGCTTACAGTAGCAGCAGCAGCAGCAGCAACAGCAGCAGCAGCAGCAGGCTGACTTGAATGGAGGCATCTTTGGGCTGTCTTTGCAGGTTTGTGAAGGAGGGCTACCGACGCCCCGTAGGACTCTGGCTGCTCGGTAAGCTTCAGAATTGGGGTTTAGGGTTTAGGGTTTCGGATTTAGGGTTTAGGGGTTAGGGTTTAGGGTTTAGCAACCGTAACTTCCAGAATATAGCCTAAAACTCCCCCTTCCCTTCGAAAATGCCGGCGACGCCCAACCGCCAATCCCCCACTGCACAGGCCCCAAGGTTTAGGGTTTAGAGTTTAGGGTTTAGGGTTTAGGGTTTA